GAGGATTTTTTTACTGTCACAATTTATTGTTTATAATTCGGCATTGCTGTATAATACTCTTCGGGTTGCTATTATTCAACAAGCACGTCAAAACTTCATGTTAATGATCATACCTTCTGCCTCAAATATGCTTATGTGGTCGAGTGGGTAGAGTTGACGCCTGTGAATCAGCGACTGCCGGTTCGAATCCCGAAATGTAAAGGTAATTTTTAGACATATAATAACAATATAAATATGTAAATCCAATTAGTCAGCAACATTCTAAAGCAGTCTCATTAAAAATATAAGATATGAAGCGGTCTTCTATTATATTTTTTTTAATACAAAATTAAGGCTGAACAAGGGTTGGAAAAGACTGTTGGTTAATGCATTTAAAAGCTTATAATTTAGATTGCTGTTAAGCTTTGGCCTGATTAAAATCACCAGATTAAGATGTTTAAAAGCTGAACAAAGGTTAATTTGGTCTATGTACAACAATTATTCAAACTAAGCCTGAATTAAAATCGTTGAAAGAACACTTGTTAAGCATCAATTTGTTACCTGGGGTAGAACCGGAAACTACCTAACTAATAATAACCAAAGATTTAAGTAAAGTAAAGGAGAAAAATCTTTTCAAATCTCTAATAAGGAAAAAATCCCAAAGGCTTGGTTACCTGCGATTGCCTGCCTAATATTTGTTTTGCCCCTTGGTTTTCCAGCCATTGGAAGATGGTGACAATCAAAATTTGTATCGGTCTTAGTGTTATACTTTAAAATTTTTCCATGAAACCGGTCAAATTAACGAAAAAATCCAGTGCTTTAAAAGCGTGCTTATCCCAAGTTTGCTTACTAATTACTATTTTTGAAATATAAGAACCTACATACTTTATAACACACGCTCTTAAAAACAAATACCACAAACGAACTATAACCAAAATGTTAGAACTATTCCACAAATGGTTTGGATGATACCACAAACACGCCGTTAAGTACTTTTGTAATGGTAATGCTCTTGATCTTGCATTGCGAAAAAAGCAACTAGCGAGATTAATGTACACATGGATCATATGCTGATATATGATTTAAAATCCGGACTGATTCGTGATCAGGACGTACATTTTTTGGGGTTTGTTTACAAAACCACATACACCCTATTCACGAATCAGTCCATAAACATTCGTTGAAATATAATGATTTATCATCGAACTTTTTCACATACGTTTTCGTAAGGATTAACTTCCCGAATATGACGATCTTCTTATTCTATTGAAAATAATGTTTCTTTCTTGGGTTAAGGTACACCGGAGTAAGTTGAAACGTGGTGTAAGTTTAAATGGAAGCCCTAGGTATTGGCGGAAGTGAAAAATCACTGATTTTTAAACAATATAAATTAAACCTAAAAGCATAAAATGAAGAGATTCAAAGGCAATATTTGCTGATTTGGGATACTTTCATTTTAGCCCGGGGTTGGTTAAACCCACAAAACGTTATTGTATTGGGAAAAAAATGAGAAATATCCTCGTTAAACTGTTAGAATAATAATATTGAAATCTCGATGAACATTTCAAATGGTCCTATCTGCTTTGATCGATTCTCTTCATCGACTTTCTTTTTTCATAACCACTGCTATGCAAACAGATTTTGCGCTAACTCTACCACATAGTTTGATAAATGAGGTTCTTATCTAACGTCCAAACGTCAAATACAACAGGGAAAGTTTTGCAGCTGAGTTATTGACGAAAGAGAAAGTCGATGAAGACAATCGGTCAATACAGATAGGACCTTTTGAAATGTTTATCTAGAAATATGTGTTTAATTTACCGCACTGCACAATGGTTTGAATGCACGAACTTTTTATTTGCGCCTCCAAAATCAATTTTTTCACCATGGTGTCTTGAGAAGAGTTTTTGAATAAAATAAGGTGTAAATACTTGTGATACGATTATGTTCGGACCTCTACCACAGGCGGCGCTGCAAAATGTAACTTTTGACATTAACAAGATAGGTGTGCGGTATATTCAGCAAAGTTTTAGATCTTTGCTCAACACATCAATCCTCTATAAGTATTTGTTTTAGCGTTTTATATGACTGTTCCATAAAATTTAGTATTTTCAGTTTTTATCACATATTTAAAAATATATATAGGTTTTATATGTTCTTCAAATATTTTTATATTAGCAAAATACCAAATTTTGTTCAAGACGTCCCAATGGTTATTTCCAAATTTAGTTTAAAAATGGATATATTTTGTGCCCTCTTATACAAAAATCCGGCAGATGAGTCTTAAATAGGATGAAAGCTTGTTCAAAAGTGATCGCAAATCCCATCCCTTTTTGTATCTTCGTTGATTGTTTTGCATTTCATAAAGGTCGCTCCGCAGCTCAGTGACAGCGCGCATTTATCAAAGACTAAATCAAAGTATGCTCAATGATAATATAACAAAGTTTGGTCGCACATTGATCGTTGTTGCTGCATTAAAACACATATTGCATAAAAAATAATATTTTTATAGTGAAATGAAGGTTATTATTACAACATTTCCGTAACAGATCCGAAAAGTGGGAAAAGCATGTATTTCAACAATGAAGGTAAGAGCAACCATGTAGTTAATAAGGTGTTTTGTGTTGATTTCCAATCCATGATATAAATGAGTTTTCTATGGACGTTATTTGTTTGTGAAAATTTCAAAAATAGTATAATAGTATATAAAATTTCAGTTTAAATCGACAGGCGAACTGTGGAAAGAATTTAAGGGAAACGAAATTGATAAATCAAACGTTGTGTTCAGAGAAGTTTTTGACTGTTAAGGCATTGATGGTGTTTCAATGTCACAATTGGCAGCTGAAGTCAACAATTTCGTGATGGTGACATGCCAATAAAAAAAAAAAAAAAACGACTGTGGGAAAACCACAACCGGATCATGTCATATATGCTTGAAAGCAATCGTGGTTATTTTGATAGTTCCTTCAAACTACCACAGAAAGTTGTTGATCGTATCCCTTGCGGTTCAACTACCCAACAGATAAACTTGCATTTGCACCCAAATGAAATTACGTGAGGATGGCAAAGAAGAGCCAGCGTTCATTCTAAAACAGGCATCGCAAACAACTCCGACACGAGCCGTGAAAATGGTTTCAGCTAAACAATCATCCAACAATATTTTTGTACACTACTTGGAGACGGAAACTCTTGCGTTAATATTGGATCTTAATTTATCGAAAGACCAATACGAAAAGCTTCGTAAAGGAGCTCTGGATCGGAATATACATTTGTATCCGTCCTACTACAAAGTGCTGCCAGCTTAAAATGGCTGTTATCCCAATACAGCGTTGATAGTTTCGGAGACGTCTGCATAAGTGAAACTAAAGGATCTATTGGACCACAAGGCAATGAGGATTGTTGATGCGAATGCGTGCATGCTGGGAAAGTTTAGTGATGACGAATTGGAGAATACGATTAAGTGGGGATTTGATGGTACTAATCCAGTTGCGAACACAAGCAAGCATTTGGGGATGATGACGGAACAAAATCCGATGCAAATGTTTTAGTTACATCCAATGCGCCAGTCAAACTGGCATCAAATGGGAACATTTTTTTCAGAACACACGTCAATCTACTGCACCGACACCTGGAATCGACTGATCAAACCATTAGCAGCCTAAGAGCATCTGGAGACAAGCCGATTAATGACCTCTGTAGCGATGCAAAATACATGCTAGATGTGGAAGAGGAAGATACAAATGATTTTTGTAACAATATTGTATAACCTTTGTTTGTATTTTTGAAAGATTTATATATACAAACATACAATGATGTAGAACGTAATATTTTAAATCATATAATTATAATATTATAATGGCTAACACAAAAGTATACATTGCTTTCAAGTAGCCTTCTGTGATGAGTAATATGGCAAATGCTCTGCAGTCTGTGGTCACTAAGCTGTGGAACGTCCTTGTTGAAATGCAAAATAATCAACGAGGATACTTAAAGGGACAAATGTTTCAATGGAATTTGACATCACTTCTGAACAAGTTCATCCTAATCAAGACTCACCTGTCGGATTATGCCGGATTTTTTGTCTGTGAGAGCACAAAATATGTCAATTTTTATACTAAATTTAATAACTCAGCCTGTGTAATCGATACCTTTTGGATGCCTGGAACAACGTTGAGTATTTTTATAATATTCAAATATTTGTGCAACACTATATTCTTCTAAAGCCTATAGTTTTTGAAATATGTGATAAATTGGACTGAAAAAAACTTAATTTTGTGGAACTGTCATATAAAACGCTACGTATCTCAAAAAGACACAGAGGATTGGTGTGTTCGTCAAAGATTTTTGTATTAAAGTTATCTTCAACTTTGCTGAAGACACCACATGCCTATCTTGTAAATGTCAAAAGTTAGATCTTGCAGCGCCGCCTGTGGTGGAGTTCCGAACTAAAACTTATCACAAGCCTTATTTTAAACAAAACTCTTTTGAAGACACCATGGTGAAAAAAATGATATTGAAAGCGCAAATAATAAAAGTTCGTGATATTGAGCAGTGCATATTGGAGTTGGATTATCTTGCGTAACATTTGAAAAGAGCAAACAAAATGTTGTTTACCAAATTTGAGAGGCCTTTTTTTAAATGTTACGCGAGAATATATTGCTGGAATTTGAAATTACCAAAGGATCAGAAATCCTGTACACAATAACATTGTTTTAATATAGTCCTATTGATAAGTTCAACTGTATGATTCTGAACTCATCATCATACGTACAAAGATTTACCTATTTTGTCATACCCGAAAATGATCCTGAGCTGTTTCGTACAGTTGAGGCAAACAATCGAAACATAATTTCCAACTTTAATGAGAATTCCAAACACAGTAGAACGAGTAGGTTCGTTTCCACAACGGATCACATCGATGGGAGCCTGATGCCTCGGATGTTTGTTGTTTGCTTTTGTGCGCACAGGTCTCCTTCTCTCTCACACACAAACATTCTGGTGGTGGGACAAGCAATACTTACCAACAACGTGTAGATGTACTCTAGCACTTATTTTCGGCTCTGTCGACACCTGGCACTCGTATATTCCGGCATCACGTGCCTGCACGTATTTGATCTGCAGCGTCCAAACGCCGCTGTTTTCCACATAGAATGATTGAAAACGTTCGTCGGCTATAAATGTCATTCTGCATAAATCAGCGTTCGGTTCAAAAGTAGGATCCAGATTCGAGAACGAAGAGCAGGTTCACGTCCGGGTCAGCATTTTATGCACCCGTAGGATGGCATCACCGGGCGTCAAGTGAGGAACGTCACACGCAGAGACCAAGAGGTCATTTGGGAATAAAAAAAAGAGTCCAAAGACCAGCCGAGGTTGATTTCACATTAATAATAATCGATTGCCATCATCCGTCCATCCGTCCGCCCATCCATTCATTCGGGTTGCCATTTGTTGACCATACGTTCATTGGTGAATGGGTGGTGCACCATTCAATGTGGCATCGATACGACGACGTTAACGTCAACATCAGGAGGGCACCATTGGATTCAAAGTAACCCCAGTCATCGTTCGTTCGGTGGTGTCAATGTCGGACGAGGCAGCATCAACAGCAGGATCATCAGCCAGCCAGCCAGTCAGCCAAAGGTGCCAAAAAGCATCATTCCAGGGCGCAATATCGGATGGAAACATACGGTGAAAATGGAAGAGAGAGAGAACAAAAAATATGAAAAGTGTGAAATATTAATAAGAGATTGATAGCGGCACAATAAATGAAATATGGCGATAATTCACCAGATTAAGGCACGGGCTATTAAATCTCTGCCGAAAATGGAGACGCGAAATCATGTTGCTGCTTTGATAGGCAGCCATAAATCTCGACCGGTTTTGAGTTCATTTTCAGCAGTTCCAATGACAAATATTTATTGACTTGTTGGATGACGCCACGCCTGATTTTTTTCCCACTAACATTCAACTTTTCTTTAATATTTTGATGCTGGAAAAAATGAACGACGAATCAATGATTGAAAAATGCTTAAAAATAAGAACTATGTCCTTGAAACGAGCGCATCGACCGGTCAAATATCTACATATGTATTGTTTAATTTAATGGAGACGCATGATAGTTTGTGTTCATTAGAATGTGTCGTTTGAAAAGACACCTTTCCAATGCAAGCATCGACGGCATTGGATTGTGCCTATCCCGAAATGACAAAACATTTCTTCCACGGCCGACGAGATCGACTCAAAATTGAGTGATTTGTCACTCGAAATCACAAAACCCTAGGTTTCTCTTAAACTGATTCGCTTTTAATAAATAATCTGCTCAAATATGAGGAAAATTGACGAACATTTTACTCAGTCTAGGGTTATACTAATAGGCTGAGTGAAACCTCTCTGGATTTGTCTCAAAATCGATAAGTTTTTTCTGGACAATGGAGGAAAATTTTACTCAGAGTATGAGTAACCTACGTTTTACGAATTTGAGATAGCGAAACTCCGTGTACTGCTATCACACGATGAAATCGTGCAGTGAAGAAAATATATATTCTAACCAAATCTAAATCTGCGTTTTGGTCGTGTGGAGAATCTATAAGAAAGAAGCCTTTGATTATAATTCGATTTATAATAGGGCAGGGTACGGGCCCGGCATAGTAGATAGCCTCTCACGTTAAAGGTTAAGATTTCAAATCTGATCGCCGGAAAAGTCTCAAATGACCTTATGTGTGATAAAGTGACTAAAATACAAAATAAAAACTTCTTGGTCATCTCACTCAAAACTTTATGTTAACCACATTTTCAAAAAAGCCGTGAAACCGTAGATATTTGGAAATTGTGAAAATATCAATGAAATAATTAAGCAGGATGTTGTGTTTATTTACTTCATTGCTCGCTAGCTGAATGCATTTCATTTGGTAATTTAGCTGGTATCGTCTGGGATTTTGTGTAAATAATTCAAAGTAAACCTTCCAAATTAATTTTTCATCTATATATTTAACCTTCAAGACTTGCCAAGTTGGATAATTAGGACGAATGTGGAAAAAGTCGAATTGCATACAAACATTTTTACAGTAACAGTAGAACTTTTCGGTACTGGATGCTTAAAAGTAGTAGTTTTTTGACACTGTTATGTTAGTAGTGAAAATTAGGCCAATATGTTATTCAAAACAATGTTGAAAAGTGACTCTTTTCAGTAATGGGCGCTAAAAAAATTTTTTTTGCCCGATTCTCCTTCTCTCTGGTAGGATAGCATTATTATAGAAACAATCAGTATCGCTACAAAAAACCCACCAAATGAAATATTAGGTACCCCTCTTTCGTTTCAGGCTAGTTTTAAAATCTTCTATCGGAGGTAATTTTCCACCTTTCCATACTAGACTCACATGAAAGAGGTGACCCTTAGCTTACGTTTGGTGGGTGTTTCAGCGATAATGATTTTTTTTAAAGTTGTTCTTACAGAGAAGAATAAACACAAATACCATGTAGTTCTATAAATTGGCGCCTTTAATGTTACACTCACTTGCACTACACTAATGTAAAAATTTCCGGAGAATTAAATGCAGATAGGGCCTCCCTTAGTTCGGTTGGTAAAGGCGCAGCTACAAAGTATGACCATGCTAGAGATGGCTGGGTTCGATTCCCGGTCTGGTCTAGGATTTTTTTGAGTTGGAAAATGTCTCGACTTCTCTGGACATAGAGCATAATTGTATTTGCCATACAATTATACTAATGCGAAAATGGTACAAGTATCGAAAGCTCTCAATTAATAACTGTGGTATTTTATCTAGAACACTTAGTTGAAAGCACGTAATAAGCTAATATAATTAGCTTGAAATGCAAAGAAGAAGAAGACCGTTCCATCTTGGGCAGACTTCGAGAAATGGTCCACTTTCCTATATGTTTTACGAAAAGGTGTTAACGAGTCATGTTTTGATATCATAATATATGTAGTGTAGTCAAATTGGTTGACACAGCCTGAATTTAGAGTTTCTGATAGAAAAAAAAAAAATCGATTTTGACACGATTGGCCACAAGGAATTGACATGAGATGAAGTAAATTTTGGTCATTGCGACTGTCTGTTGGCCACTCAATTAAAAGTAATAAATCATTTAAGAAATATTACCTAGAACTAGATGCACCAACATAGTCAAATCGGAACCTATATGAGGATAACAATTGTTGATTGTGACCTAGCCCGCATGTTCCGGTTTTCTGCAAATATGTTGTCATTTGTCTAGATATTCATAGACAGTAGTATCCAGAACATGTACTTAAAAAAACAGACGTTTAATCTAAGTGTTAAAACACTTGATGTCGTAAGTGCATGATCATATTTATTTTACGTGCATTTCACTTTGGATCAACTTGATATACACTCTCGATCAAAAGTATGGGTGACCCTTTTAAAATCATATAAATGTTATTTGTTTTGCCGATGTTCGATATAGGTTATTAAAAAGGTATTGACTAAAATTTAGTTCGTATGAAACTAGTTTAATATATTTTACAACTCTTGTACACTAAAATTTATCTTAAATGTACAACATGTTCCAAACTTAACACTGAATATTAATGACTGATTTTCTCAGAATTCTTTCGGCCAAACTTGAAAGTGGAAGTAAAACCCAGATCTGTTTTTTTGTTGAAAGTTTGGTTGAAAAATGAAATATATTTTAAAGCAATCAAATAATTATTCAAGCCATACATCAAAAGTTTTTTGTCACCCCACAGTATGATTTGTCGCGATTACTTGAAATTTTAGCATCTATTTATTAAAACCCATTGATTGCCTTTCAAATTCTGCAAAGAGAACTAAAATTGGACAAATAATGGCAGAGATATGAATAAAGCAACATGCACAGGTTTTGTTTTGAGGGTGACCCCAAACTTCTGAACGATTACACCATATGATGGCTGACCTCGATTGGTCTTTTTGTTCATATATCTGCTATTTTTGTCCGATTTTATTTCTTTTTTTTATATGATAACACTATAGGAGTATTCAGCGAAAACCCAAAACTTGATATCTTTAAAAAATACAACTCAAAAACGAAAAAAAAGAAAACACATCGCTGATTTTGTGATATAATATGTAAAAAAACTTAAATTTTAAAGGAAAATATAAAAACATATTGCGGCCTCCATCTGCAAACCACCCAACAAACATTCAATGTTGAATAAAAGATTATTCAGGCAAAAATAAGCTTATCCAACAAACAAATTGCTTATTCAGTTGTTAATAAACTCAAATTGTTTGTTGGCCATGAAAACCATAATAAACAAATACAATTAATGTTTTTCAATACAAAACCTCAAATTTTCAACATAGAAATGGTTACCCTAATGACATAATAAAAATTCTGAGATCCACTATATCTTTTAGCTATGAAGGGTTGAAAATGCATATTTTCGGAATGGTGACGGCATGAAGTGGTCGGAAATCGGTGCCTGATCGCTTAAGAGACCAAGATGGCGACTTTCGGTTTATGGAATACTGAATGGGAATGAAAGAGCCCGGAAATCGTTGTTTAATCAATTTGCAATCCAATATGGCGACTTCCAGTTTACGGAAAACCCTCAAATACCTTACAAAATGCATATTTTAGATGTCTGATAATTTTGGAATTCATGATGGCGAGTTCCGGTTTCACATATTTTCTGAATTCGGATGACGTGCAGAAGCTGGAAATCGTTGTTTGAGCAGTGTGGAATCGAAGATGAAATGACGAAGACATGAAGAGGCTGAAAATCTTTGTTTATCCATTTTGGAATTCAAGATTGCGGCTTCCGGTTTACGTAAAATCCTTAAATACCTTTCATTCTGCATATTTTCTAATTGGGATGAAGTGAAGAGGCTGAAGAGCGTGTTTGATCGTTTTGGAATCCAAACAACAGATTGACCAAAAATGAAAAAAAAAATCTGTTCAATGCATCAATGTGATGCTTATATTATTATTAAATAACATACTAAGACCTTTTTTAATTGAGATTTTTTATTCCATCTTGTAAATAAAGGTGGGAGGGAGTTAGTGAGTTAGAATTATGCAATTTTAGGGGGAGTCTTGTAAAGCGTAGCTTTTTTGTTACCAGATCACAAAACAGCTTTGCAATCCAATATTTGCATGAAACAGAAAAGCAAAATGTCAAAAGATAAGCAATTATAACGGAATTCAATGGAAATAACTTAACTC